CCTTCTCTTTGGTCCAACCGTCCCATCGCTCCCATATAGTGGTGGCGTTATATTTAATACTATAGCCCCACGAGGGGTACGTGTCCTGCAGTAGTAGACGATACGCCACATCCGAGTGACCGAATTGGCTCAGAGTCGGGCACAAATGGCCCACACCTAACGAAAATTGCAAACCGTAATGGTAAAACACTCACATATTGCCAAACATATTTATTAAAATGGGTGACAAACCTACAAAACCGGTGGTCAGATGATAATCATGTGCTTTAATATTGTCCACCAAATGATTTGCTGCCAATTGCTGCAGATTTTTGGGTAACATTTCAAATGCAATTGCGATCACATAATCAGTTTGAGTGTCGCCTTTCATACGACCGTCAGTTGTATTGACAAAAGCTTTTACAAAAGCATTTGCAATATTCTGGTGGAGATCTCCATAACGTTTCACGTCTTGAGTCCGACCCAAGGCTTTGGCCATTTTGGACAGCAATAGGGCGTCGTATCCGTAGTAAGCGGTGGACAACACATCCTTCGGTGTGTCGGCATTTACTTGAAGCCAATCACCAAAATTGTTGTTCACTCTCTTTATCCACAAGAAGTTTGGATTCTGGCTCTCGATGTAAGTCATCCACAGTTTCATTGACTCATAACTGTCTTCGACGGCCTGAAGATCTCCATATTGTCGCCACACAGTATACGGAACTATAACGCCGACATCACCCCAGGCCGGGGCCCCATCTGTCCCATCGGGACTCAAACGGGGCGCCACCTCTGGAAAGCCGCCCTCTTTGGACTGACTATCCCTTAAGTCACGCATCCATTTGGTGTAAAAGGCGGACACATCGGCGTTATAAGTGGCCGTATGAGCGAAGATCTCCGCATCTCCCGTCCAGCCCAGCCTCTCGTCCCGTTGCGGACAGTCTGTCGGGACGGACAGGAAGTTTCCCCTTTGACCCCAATTGATGTTTGAGTACAACTGATTGACCATTTTGTTTGAGGTTTCAAAGTGTGATTTGAATGCTGTGTCTGAATGGATAACAATACCCTTAATGGCAGATAGCGGTGGTTCTCCCGGATATCCCGTGACCTCAACGTATCGAAAGCCATGGGTTGTAAAATGAGGCTCAAATAATAACTCTGACGAACCGTTACCCTCTGTTTATACAATAGTTGAAAGTAATTAAATAATTTTTATCATGAATTTAGTATTTATTATACAGTACATAAATACAATCCTGTATTACTTACTATTCAAGACATAGGTATCGGTGGCCAAAGCCGAGCGCAGATTCAGTACATAAATAGTTCCGTTAGGGTTGAGGGCCTCGGCGTGTCTTAACTGCACACGACTCGCGTCATATGCTTTAGGCATTTGAATTTGAACCCAACCGACCATATTCTGGCCAAAATCAAATACCCAAACTCCCGCTTGACTCTCGTGTTTGGTCTTAGGCTCGAGTACTTGTATCGCCCGAACCGGTTCGGCTCTATCGGCCACGAAAGCCACGTTCTTGTCTATGGGTTTAGTGACCACTGATGGCCAGTGGCTGTCGTCGTACGTCGAGTCCCTCCAGTTCTGCGGCTCTCGACTCTCGTAATACAATTCACCCATCAATAGGTCTGAGTATATGTAGGAACCGGTGTTTACTTTCCACGTGTTGTCCGACTTGACAACAGCCGTAGTCTTGTCTTCGTATTCAATACGCAACTCAACCAATAGATTCTGATCCGTACCGAAGAGGTTGTACTGACCGAAGAAACTAACGTAACTGCTGTACCAACCCGTGCCCAATAATACGCTTATAGTATTTGTGGCCGTCAACTGGTCGGTCACGTCATAGGCCTGGTATTGGATAGTCTTGTGATAGTCAGTCCATCCCGGGTCCAGAACTGATTTGTTTATATCTCGGCCATTAATAGACAACTTATACACGCCCTGTGCTGTGGCGTACAGTTTAGCCGATTTTACTTTTGACTTTGTTGCGAAACTTTTGCGGAGGTATAGCACCGGCACTAAACCGGGCTTTGATTTAATTAACTATTTTATTTAAAATACATAAAATTGATTATTTTCTATTAAACTATTAAATACAACTAATTAAAATCACATACCTTTGCGTCAATATCTGCGAGATTTTTGAGTGCCTGTTGTTGTGTACCTTTGGGAGCGCCGATCCATTGAGCCGTCCAATCACTCGCATCCAAGCCTTTATCCCAGAAACCGATATGACCCGGATGTTTGTCGAGCACGCGGTCATTCTGATCCCATACATTCACTTTCCAATAGGCTCTCATCCCGGCCTTCAATGGAGTGCCGCCATATTTAATATGGTTGGTCCGATCGCTCACTACTTTCTTACTGTCCCACAGATTACCGATGTTTTTGTCCAGACTTTGCCGATCAGTGGACACAAGTATTTGATAAGCCTTTTGCGACAAATCCTTCTTTGTTTCATTCAGCGCCTGTAGTGTCCATTGAAGTCGGGGTTGAGTTATATCGACTGCCAATGGATTGACCAGATATTCAACTTTTAGATCTACGGCCTGTATATCAGAGTCGGCCAAAGATATCTGAAATACCAGACATTGTGTTAGAAATGTTGTAAAAATAATTGGTTTATTCATTATTAATATCATTATTATTAAATATATATTGTACAACCAATGACTTAATTAAGTAATTTTTAAGTTTAATTTATATCAAAATGAAATCAAAATAAATCTCGACATAAATTAATATTTGTGTGAAATATGTGAGTATTTAACACATGTTAATCGTTAATCAGTAATATTGTGACAAAAGACAAAAACAACTTTAAACCTTTGTTTCAATGATTTCTGTATTAACTAACGATAAAATTTATAAATTAAATCATTTAATTATTAAAGAATTTAGTGATTATTTAAAAGAAAACTATTCCATTGCATTGAATTGAACTAGATTGAATTAAATACAAGTATCTTATCATAATAAACGTTCTAGTTAATTTTAATATAAGAATTATCAATTTAAAATTTCACGTCAAATTGTCTTCAACTGTATTTTTTAGTACAGTTATAAATATCAATTCAATGATTATAATTTATATTTAACAAATACAATTTAATAGTCAAAGTATAATGTAAAATTTAGTACAAATGATTTAGTTCACTTAACAGCACAAAACAAATACAATATAAGATATGCTTAATCATTATTTGGGAGTGTTTTCTATCATATTAAGTAAAATTTATAAATTGAATTAAAACCGTTTTTGAGTTTTAATACAATGTTTGCAAATTCTGTACAATAACTAGTATGACCAAATATAAATTTTTGAATAGAGTATCAAAGTATAGAAAATGTAATAATTATGATTTTAAATTTTGATTATGGATTAATTTGTAAAACAAAATTTATTATTATTGTTTATAAACGTGCATCTTAGGATCTGTTTAATTAGTTTTACAAAAGTCAATAAACCGTATGTAAATAATATCTACAAATAATATGTACAAAATGTATTTTATATAATTAGGAACTATTCATTTAACTGCATTTTATTACACAAAATAACATTTATCACCCCTTTAAACATTTTGGTAATTCTATCTAAATTTAATATAGCATAATTCAATATTTAACCAATGTAATTTGTGACGAAACACAGAGTTCCGAGGGTCGGGAGTGAACTCTTGACGAATCGTCGGACGGTATTCGGGACTAAGGTCTCGGAAGGCGACTAAGTCTACCGTCGAGTGATGTCTGTGTTATGTTTTAGTGAGAAGTCCTGACGGATAGGACCTCTAGAACGACACGATAAGTACGAATGGGTGAGAAGTAACACGATATGAATGAACACTGTATGGGAAGTAACACTAAGTGTTAATGTAAATGAATAGACAAATGGGCAGCACTTCGTGTGAATATCAATTTCCGATCCTTTATTCATAGTTCAAGCAAAATGTATGATAAACGTCGAGTATATATGGTATGACAGCGTATATGTTAAATGATATGTATGTAGAATGACTTCTAGCAGTCGGGGCTAAGGAGTACTGATATGTATGGAAATGTCTCGTTTTATACAAGGTTATGTCAAATGAAAGTGTGTTGTAATTATAACTAATTGTGGTTAAAGGCGATAAAACGTGATTAAAAGTAATTGTATGAAAGTGAGCAATAAAGTGGTATAAACTGGATATTGTGTTAATGAATGAAATGTGTGTTCAAGGGATTAGTGTATGTGAATGTCGAGTATTGAGGGCAAAGGTAATATACGTATATTTGGTTTGAAATGTATGTACATATATACAAGAGAAGTCCGGTACTAGTCTTCGGCTGAGAAGTACTCGTTGTCCGATACATGCGTTTCTTCACAAATTATTAAACTAAAAAGTTTTAAAAGTTAAAAGTTAAAACTTCTAAGGTCATTATTAGGATATAGTGTATATGTGTACATATTTACAAAAATGATATAATCAAACATTTATGTTTAAAATATTTATTTTATTTCATATTAAACTTTATTTAAGTAAATTAATACAAGTTGCGAACAGACAATTAAATTATTTAAAAATGTTTTGCCAACTCTCCGGTATAGACATACCGACCGGAGCCCACATTTTCAACGGCAGCGCTTTTCAAGAAAGTTAAATCAATCACCGCTTTTGTATTGACCGGTATATCAACCTATCATTTAAAATATAAATAAACCATTAATTCCTAATTACAAAACTTATATAAAATAAAAGTTTTAAAACTAACCGTTAAAGTAATATTAATGCCATTTGTTTCCCACGCACTGCCTATCAGACCATTAATGGACGGGTAGTGGGCTTTCACTGACGTGAGACCGGCGGCCGGTTTCGGTGCGATTCTAATCAGTTTAAAGCCAACCTTTTCGTTGTCGGTGTCAATACCGGCCACTGATTGGTAAAGCCATCGACCAACTGATCCCAGAGAGTAATGATTAAAAGAGTTCATTCCCGGGTCTTGAAAGCCCTTCTCTTTGGTCCAACCGTCCCATCGCTCCCATATAGTGGTGGCGTTATATTTAATACTATAGCCCCACGAGGGGTACGTGTCCTGCAGTAGTAGACGATACGCAACATCCGAGTGTCCGAATTGGCTGAGTGTCGGACACAGATGACCCACACCTATTGTTCAATTAACATAATGGTAAAACATGTGTAAATGTGAAACAAGAATGTTAAACATGCTTATTAAAAAGTGTAACAAACCTACGAAACCAGTAGTCAAATGATAGTCATGTGCCTTAATATTGTCCACCAAATGTTGTGCGGCCAACGGTTGCAGATTTTTGGGCAACATTTCAAATGCAATTGCGATCACATAATCAGTTTGAGTGTCGCCTTTCATACGACCGTCAGTTGTATTGACAAAAGCCTTTACAAAAGCGTTGACTATATTTTGGTGGAGATCTCCATAACGTTTTGCGTCTTGAGTGAAATCCAAGGCTTTAGCCATTTTGGACAGCAATAGGGCGTCGTATCCGTAGTAAGCGGTGGACAGGATCTCCTTCGGTGTGTCGGCATTCACTTGAAGCCAATCACCAAAATTGTTGTTCACTCTCTTCGTCCACAAGAAGTTCGGGTTCTGGCTCTCGATGTAAGTCATCCACCGTTTCATTGACTCGTAATTTTCTTTAATGATCTCCAGATCTCCGTACTGTCGCCACACAGTATACGGCACTATAACACCGACATCACCCCAAGCGGGAGACCCGTCGGCCCCATCGACCACACGGGGCGCTACGTCAGGAAAGCCGCCATCTTTTGACTGTCCGTCCCGTAAGTCACGCATCCATTTGGTGTAAAAGGCGGACACATCGGCGTTATAAGTGGCCGTATGGGCAAAAATCTCTGCGTCTCCCGTCCAGCCCAGCCTCTCGTCCCGTTGCGGACAGTCTGTCGGGACGGACAGAAAGTTTCCTCTTTGACCCCAATTAATGTTTGAATGCAATTTATTGACCATTTTGTTTGAGGTTTCAAAGTGTGATTTAAAAGCCGTGTCTGAGTGCATGACAATACCCTTAATGGCTGTTAGCGGCGGTTCTCCCGGATATCCGCTGATCTCAACATATCTGAAGCCATGGGTTGTGAAGTGAGGCTCAAGTGATAGCTCTGTTGGACGGGTAGCCTCTAATTAAACGGATCATAAATTTGTTTACTTATATATTTAATGGCAATTTATAAGTATAATCATATCAATAATGTAATGATTAGACACTTACTGTTTAAAACATAGGTATCGGTGGCCAAAGCCGAGCGCAGATTCAGCACATAAATAGTGCCGTCGGGGTTGAGTACTTCGGCGTGTCTTAACTGCACACGACTGGCCTCATAGGCTTTGGGCAATTGGAGTTGAACCCAACCGACCATATTCTGTTCAAAGTCAAATATCCAAACACCAGGTTTAACCTGGCGTTTGTTCTTAGGCTCCAGGGTTTGAGTCACCCGAACCGGTTCAGCCCTATCGGCCACGAGAGCCACGTTTTTGTCTATGGGTTTAGTGACCACTGATGGCCAGTGGCTGTCATCAAACGCTGAGTCCCTCCAGTTTTGCGGCTCTCGACTCTCGTAATACAATTCACCCATCAATAGGTCTGAGTATATGTAGGAACCGGTGTTTACTTTCCACGTGTTGTCAGACTTGATAACAGCTGTAGTCTTGTCTTCGTATTCAATCCGCAACTCAACCAATAGATTTTGATCCCAACCAAAAATGTTGTACTGATGGGCGAAACCAACATAACTACCGAACCAACCCGTGCCCAACAATACGCTTATGGTATTTTTGGCCGCCAACTGATCGGTCACGTCATAGCCCTGATATTGGATTGTTTTATTATAGTCAGTCCATCCCGGGTCCAGAACTGATTTATTAATATCGCGCCCATTAATGGCCAACTTATACACGCCCTGTGCTGTGGCGTACAGTTTAGCCGATTTTACTTTTGAATTTGTTGCAAAACTTTTGCGGAGGTATAGCACCGGCATTAAACCGGGCTTTGATTTAATCAACTATTTTTGATTTAAAAAATAGCAAAGTTAATTACTAATTAGTTTAAATTAAATTAAATCAATTTAAAATACACACATTTGCATCAATATCTGCCAGATTTTTGAGTGCCTGTTGTTGTGTGCCTTTGGGAGCACCGATCCATTGCGCCGTCCAATCACTCGCATCTAAGCCTTTATCCCAGAAACCGATATGACCCGGATGTTTGTCGAGCACGCGGTCATTCTGATCCCATACATTCACTTTCCAATAGGCTCTCATCCCGGCCTTCAACGGAGTGCCGCCATATTTGATTTGATTGGTCCGATCGCTCACTACTTTCTTACTGTCCCACAGATTCCCGATGTTTTTATCCAGATTTTGCTGATCTGTGGCCACAAGTATTTGATAAGCCTTTTGCGACAAATCCTTCTTTGCTTCATTCAGCGCCTGTAGTGTCCATTGAAGTCGGGGTTGAGTTATATCAACTGCCAATGGATTGATCAGATATTCAACCTTCAGATCTACGGCCTGTATATCAGAGTCAGCCAAAGCTCTCGTCAATACCAGACATTGTATAAGAAATGCTGTGAAAATAATTGATTTATTCATTATTAATATTATTAGTTTAATAATACAGACAATGAATACAAACAATAATTTAATTAAACAATTTTTGCTTTAATTTATATCAAATTGTAATCAAAATAAATCTCAACATAAATCCCTAATTGTGTGAAATAGTTGTATTGTTACCACATGTTAATCGCATAGCATTTTATCAGTAATATTGTGACCAAAGTTAAAAACAACTTCAGTTTAAGCCTCAATTTTAATGATTGCTTTATTACTTATCAATAAAAATACTTTATATGATTTGTAAGGAATTTATAAATCAAATCATTTAATTATTAAAGGATTTATTGTTCAAAATTATTCCATTGAATTGAATTGAACTGGATATAATTATCTTATCATGATTGTTTGAGCACTTACACTGTATACGAGCACAAATTATTTTTCATATTTTATTATTAAATGATAAAAGTCAAATATGTTTTAGTGCAGGACTAATATCAATTCAATCATCATGTATCCATGCGGTTTAGTACAAGTATAAGTTACTTGATCATAGTTTAGAAATGTTTTGTATAAATATATAAATTGCATAAAAACTTTATTTTATCTCAGTTTTCAAACAATGTTTGCCCAAATGCTGAGTAAATGTTTAATATTTTTCAATTTTACAAATAATATAATTAACTTATTTATTTATTCATTTCTATCTTTTTACATTTTAACCAATAAATATTATAAAACTTTATTATGTTATATTAACTAATTGTTATTATCATTGATTTGCAAAAATAATTATAAATGTACATATAAATATATTAATTGAATATAATATCTTATACATGTATAATAGGCAAACTAATGTCAAGTGGATTCATAAATCAAGAAATCATTAAAACAAAGAAACTACTTTTAATTAAAATTAAATTTAATGTAAAGTATAGTTATTGTAAAGTAACTTTAAATAACTTACTTAACGCTGACATCAAATACTATGTTATAAATACAAAAATAAACTAAAAATTCTTTGCTAATTAATCACGTAATTATATAATGTGTTTTAATTGAGATTATATTTTGAGTATACTTAGTGTCACATAATATTTATTTATTCAGTCATCATAAAAGTTTCCATAATGCAATTATAGTATAGCATGTATAGCAACATCACAAATGGTTTTATTACATGGACAATTATTTAAATACTCAAAAATGTGATAGATATCACGAATGTGTCGATTGAATAGTGATAACAGATTTATAATGTAAAGTTTTTTAATTAATGGTATTTTGTTAATTAATAATCTTTAGTCAATTAATAGGATTTGTTAATTGAATTACAATTTTCAAAATGTGTAATCAAAAAATATTATACACTTTACTTGTTTTATTAATAATATTCAAGAATAATGATTATGATAAATTAATTGCAATTTATAACTAATCTTATTTTAATTCAAAATGTTGTGCGAATTCACCAGAGTATACATACCTACCGGAGCCCACATTATGGACGGCAGGGCTTTTCAAAAAAGATAAATCAATCACCGCTTTTGTATTGACCGGTATATCGACCTATTGTTTATAACAGAAATAAATCAATTAATAATAAATTATCAAAAAGGTTCAAGACGTACGGTTAAAGTAATATTAACGCCATTTGTTTCCCACGCACTGCCTATCAGACCATTAATGGACGGGTAGTGGGCTTTGACTGACGTGAGACCGGCGGCCGGTTTCGGTGCGATTATAATCCGTTTGAATCCCACCTCTTCGTTGTCGGTGTCAATACCGGCCACCGATTGGTAGAGCCATCGACCGACTGATCCCAAAGAGTAGT